AATATTTTTCTAGAGATGAATTTTCAAAGTAATGTAATATAATGTTTTTTGGAAAGTTAGCATTTCCTTCTATAGATATGCTTACCATATACTTGGTTTTCATAGTCACAAAGAATATTATAGTCTGCCCTGTATATTGGGTCTAATCATCATTAACTTGGTCCTTTGCATAAATGTAATCTAGGTTAAAGAAATAAAGAAAGAATAGAAGAAAGCAAGGATGAATAGAAGTATAGATTAAAGAAAAGACTTAGAAGAGAAGAGTAAGACTTATCTACAAATAAACCACCCAGCCAAATCTAACATGCCTATTTCAACTTAGCCACCATAGGTTATACAAAAGTTGGATTAGAGTAACAACTAAATTACTGAATTCTGAATTACATTTAATAGTAACTGTGAAATATGAAAAGAAGAAAGACTTGAGTTAGTAAAGTGTATATTCTGATACAAAATTAAATGAAAAAGGATACTTATCTAAAAAAAAAAATTCTACTGCCCCATATTTCAAGAAAACTTCAGAATAGTAAGAAGCCTCAAGATAGTATAAAAAGAAAGACTTTGTATTTGAATAATAATAAAAGAAAAAAATATCAGAGTTAGTAAAGATCTGAGTGTAAAAAAGTTAGAAAAAAAATATACAAAGCTGACTGCAATACTTATCTAAGAACAAACTATGAAGTTTCAAGAGATTATTAATAAAAAATTTGGAAATTATGAAATTAGCAATAAACAAATTCTGAAAGCTCTGGAATTTGTTTTAAAAGTATTAAAAAATATAATTATGAATAATAAAAAAAATATCATATACATACCTGCAAATATAAATATTAGTTCTGATCCAACTGTATAAAAGAAAGAGCACAAAAGAAACAGTAAGAGAAAAGTAATAGTGTCTGAAGTTCTGATACCTATTATGACTTTGATGAACTTATAGAAAAGCTTCTTGATAGTGTTGTCTTTGGCTCTAAAGAAGGAAAAGCCAACTTAAACCTTCTTCTCTAACAACTAAATGCTAAATGTGAAACTCTTACACAAAGATGAACCCCAGAAGAAGTCATCTAAGAACCATTGCCAGAAAGTGACTTGGCTAAAGCAGAACTTGAAAAAGAAGACCCAATGTTCAATCCTATTCAAAAATCTGCAAACATTAAAGAAAATGCAACAAATGTTGATGAACATTGTTGAAATAGAATTGGAGTTGAAAAGAATAAATGTAAAGTCTTGGAATACTCACAAAAATTTGCAGAAATAGAGAATGTCAATAGAATATATTATGTTGGATCTTGCTATAAAAGTGGAATTGAAGTTGAAAAGGATAACTGTTCAGCATTAAATGATAATGAAATAATAATAATGATAATAATAGTAATAATAATGATAACAATGGTGATAATAATAATAATCATAATAATGATAAAGATACTAAGGACAATAGTGATGTCAATAATAATGATAATAATGACAATAATGTTGACAATGATAACAATGATGGTAATATAATATGTGTTAAAAATGATAATAGAATTAGAGTTGAAAAGGCCAAAAGTAAGATGTTCGAATATTTTCAGAGAGTTGCTGAAGATTAAGACTCTAATATGCAAAGCCATTAATGATTTGTATTAAAAAGCTTGGATAAAGTCTGCGAAGATTGGAATAGAAGGGTTAATGGGTTTAAAAGGTTTATCCAAAATAACAAAAAGTGATAAAAAAACCTACCATAGACAAAAAAATTTGCCAATCTAAAAGACCTCCTATCCTGAAATCTAGAATAAATCAAGCAGTCGAAATGGAATCTGATAAAGAAGAAAAATCATGAAGGTTAGAAAAGTAGAAGCAGGACAAAAAAAAACATAATTAGATAGAATTAGCTAAACCTACTTCTCAAGAGAAAATAATGCTAAAAGAACTTGAATCAATGCTACTAGGAAGAACATCATTATTAGTAAAAGAGGCTGATGAAGTTGCAGTATGTGAGTTGAAACCTAGGAAGACAGATGAAGTCAAAACAATGCTAATCAAACCAAAACTGTCACCAAAAAAAAAGTTGATGATATAGTAAGAAAATCTAAAGAGGATAATAAGCAAAAAATAATCATTAGTAAAATAGATCAAAATAAGAAGACAAAGAATAGAAAAAAACTTATCTTCTTATAAAGAACCCCACCAAAGAAGCATTGAGGCACAAGGATTTTAAGTTTCTGTTATACTTCTATTTATGTGTAGTATGCATAAACTAAGTAAAAGAGAAATGTAAGTCTGATTTTTGGAATTACAGGCATCTGAATCAATACAACAATCTATATCCAATTCAAAGTTATGTGAAAAGTAACAAAAATGTTACTTCTGTTACTTTTCTTACTTATGTTACTTCTATTACTTATGTTATTCTTTTATTTATAAGATAAATAAGATAATGACCTTTTCTCAAATATAATTAGAATATGATAGATATTACATTTATGTTAAAAATTAATTACTAATATTATAAAAGTTTTATTATAAATAAAGAGCCTTCTGCCTAAAAGAAAAGTAAGAAGTATGAGTAAACTCCCAAGTAAATACATTTTTGCACAATAAACTTAAGTATTGGACCCATATTACAAATAAAACTATAACCCAACCCAAACTGGAAACTATTGTTAAAGGACTCATTATCCATATCATTCATTTGTTTGACACCTACTAAACCACATTTTGATCATTTGCCATAAATCACATAACCAAGCCATTAATGTAAGAAAAAAACTTCAACCTGATTTAATATATTGTAACCCAAATTAAAGAAGTAAAGAAGAATAGGAGAAAGCAAAAGTGAATAGAAGTATAAGTTAAATAAAGACTTAAAAGAGAAGGGTAGTACTTACCTATAGATAAACTATTCAGCTAAATCTAACATGTCTATTTTGACTTAGTCAGTATAGATTATGCAAGAGTTGGATTAAAGTAGCAACTGAATTACTGAATCCTAAATTACACTATTAAGTTTGAATTATAGTTATTAGTAGAATTACTAAATTATAGCATTATAGCATTATAGCATTTTACCACATAGTAGAATTAATTATGACATAACATCTAATTGCTGTAAAACTTTTGTGATGTAATGTTGTAATACCATAAAGCTATAATGCTGTAATGTATAATACTATAATACTGCAATATCATAATGCTGTAATATTCTAATTAGATATTGAATTTGTATAAATTTAAATGTATTAAATTATAATTTACATTATTCTTATTAACAAAGTCATTGCATACAATAGATAGTTATATAGCTTAAGTATTTTAATTAATATATTTAATCAGTTCTTTCTTAACAAAGATTTTTTAGTAAACATATATCTATATATTAAAATTCTTTATATTATTAAATTAATTAGACTGCTCTATATAAACAATTTTTTAAATTATGTTATTTATTTGCTATAAAGATATTAAGATATTTGTATAATATTGATCATGGGAATCTGATCACATTGTCATATGACTTTTTAGATCAAAAAGTAAAAGTAAGATATTATGTTATTCAATATATATATAACATTTATTTAGATATTCATAAATTAGTTTTTTATTTAAATAAATGTTTTAAGTAAATACTAATTTTAAATGTTATACATATATTAAATAACATAATACATTATCTCTACTCTTCAATCTGAGACTCAGCATTATCTTATAACTTCACAGACATTTATTTTTATAAAAACCTTAAATCAAAGATTAAATAAGATAAGTAATATTAAATTATTAATTTTTCTTATTTATTTAATAATTTTAAACCATCAATGAAGTGACAGGTTGTATTTAGTATAATTCTTAAATTTTTATCTAATTTTTGAACTGTTTATTTCTTGAAATATACATTATAATATGACTATTTAAATTAATCAGATTTGATAGAATATGCTAATAATTCAACTATAACAATATTAAATATAAATCAGTTCAACCCTAACCTAAATCAGTTTAATCTTAATAATTTACTATTAAAGATAATATAGAAAATCTTACTACATAAAACAGATTTTAATAATATAAAGTTTTAATCTATCAAAATTTGCTAAGAATAAAAATATTATATTTGCTTTTATTCTGGTTTTTAATGTGACTGTGTTATAAAGTTATTTTATTTTAAAAATCTTCACTTGACTTAATTTCAATTAAGAAAATAAATGTTTATGTTATTAAACATTATATAAATATTAAAAATTTCAAACTTATTATAATAGCTTGTGCTTAACCATTTTACAATAATTTGTTTATAACAATTATTTAAATTTTTATATTGCTTATACTAAGTTATGCAATACCACTTAGTTTTGTTTTCACTTGAGTAATGTACAAACATATTGATAAATATTTTATCTTTAGTCATCTGTTTTATATACAACACAGCTGTAACATGCAATTTGTATATCACTTACAAACATCAAATACATAATAGCAAAAAAATATCTAATTAGTATAATAATTTTAAGCTTAAAAGGATTTTAAAATTTGCATTAAAATATTTCGACTATAACATTATGGCATTGCAGTATTACGACATTACAGCATTGCGGCATTACAGCACATGCCATTGCCTTATTAATGAAAAGCCTGTCAACGAAGTGACAGAGCGATCATTATTGTGAGATCAGATGACTTTATGACCAATCACGTACAGTTTTTTGTTATGTATCCTTTTATAGTTATTCTTTGATTATTGTCGTGAGATTTTGTAACTTGTTTTTTACAGGTAATGTTAGATTTCATATGATTTGATATTCACATGGTTATGATTATTGTTAGATCGATAGTAGAGGTAAGGGATAATGACTATGGCCGAGTATGAACCAGTGATATGGAAGAAGTATTTAAGGCCAAGAAATTTAGTAGAGAAGGTTATCTTTCTTTTCGCTATCGCTCACCTTGTAAAGGCTGGCTCTATCGTTTTCCATCACATAAAATTCAATTTGTTTAAAAAAAAAAAAAAAGAAGAAACCCAGAATATGTTAGAAAACTGTGTAAATCAAGTAGTATTTTCATATATAACTTTGAGGATGTCTACTAATCGCACAATGCATGCCGGTAGCTGGACGAAGCTCACCTTGACAGAGTTGAAGGACCTGTGTGCAGCTTGTGGCTTCTCAGTGGAAGGTAATAAGGAAGAGCTAGTTGAAAGACTGCACACTTATTTTGATAAAAGGAAAGATAAAGGTCCAGAGGTGCAGTCGAAAGGAAGCAGTAAAGGGCAGAAACAAGGTCCCGCAGTTACTGGAGATAGGAGGAAGAGATAGTGGATGTGGATTCAGATGATGACGGGGGTGGTGAGAATGAGCTGGATGAAGACTCGCAGGAAGCTGATAATAGGATTAGAGAAAAATTTGCAACACATTTTCAAGGGAAAGAAAAAGTTAGTTCGGTTCCAGTAGATGTTTTCCTGACAGCTCTTAGTAGTATTGAAAGGAAGATGGATAAGAGTTTTTCGGCCTTGTATAGGGAGATCGAAGAAGGAAATTTGTTGGAGGAGGCTTGGCCAAAGGTAAAATTGTCTAAACCATGTGACCAGTATGAGTATGATTTTCTGACAAAGATTGGTAGGCATTTAGATAAGGTAATAAGAACGTTACTAGATTCTGTTAAGAAAGAAGTTGTTAGTATGCATGATGAGGTAAAATCAAGGGCCGTTACATTGAGATTAGCAGATGATAGGGGATGGGGAGCTGCGCTACAAATAGTTGGAAGTAGAGATAAGATGATGGAAAAGTACAAAGATCGCATACCTGTAATTGGCCAGGCAGTATATCATTCGCATCCATATGCCAGGAGTTATAATAGTAAATTTCGTAAGTATCAGTACAAGAGGAAAAGAGCGTCCCCTTCTTCGTCTGACTTTGAAAGAGAATACTATAAGAGAAGTAAGAAAAAAGAGGAAAGAGCATCGTCCTTTCGGAGTAGGAATTTTTATGGATCCTTCGACCGACAGGGAAATATTATCTGCTACAACTGCGGAGGTATTGGACACATTGTCTCAAATTGCCCCTCCTCAAACCCAAGGACCTCTAGCAAGCCTAAAAGCCAGGATTGACTACACTCGGGCTGAATTGTCGTGAAGAATATGTCAGAAGGTCAGATATCAATAGTAGAGAGAATGCAGGCAGCAGATGTTTTGGATTTTTGGCAGCACAGGGTAAGTCCGTTACCAGTGGTTATGGATTGGTTGAGAAATGGAGTTCCAATATACCCAAGGGGCGTGTTAGTGTTAGCAGCAAAGCCTGTTCCGAATCAGTACAGTTTATCAGTAGAGCTACAGGAATGGGTAAGAAAAGAACTAGATCGGCTAATGAAATCGGAAGCAATAGGTTGTTTGGGGAGTCAGGTGATGATACCAGAATTTTTGTTGGAAGTAAGTCCAGTTTTCTTGATGCCCAAGAAAGGACCAAAGAAGTAGCGGATGGTTATAGACTTAAGGCGCTTAAACACAATCCTTTCCGAAAAGAGTATACGTTTCGAAGGTTTGAGTGGCCTACTTCGTACAATCAGAAAAGGATGGTATGTAATCACATGGGACCTGAAGGATGGCTATCACCACTGATGATGAGAAAGAATGCACAGCGTTTTCTGGGATTCCGAATACTAGGGAATTGATACTATTACAAAGTTCTTCCTTTTGGTCTCTCACAAACAGTATGGATTTTCTTCAAGATTATGCGGGCTATAATAGGTCATTGGAGGTCACTAGGTTTGTTTTGTGGAAACTACTTGGACGACTTTTGGTTGGCACACCCTTCTCTAGACACCCTGGTCGTAATAAAAGATACAGTAATAAAGGTGGAGCTGGAGAAATGCAGGTTAGTAAGGGAAATGTCAAAGGGTCAATGGATTCCATCCCAACAGGTAAAGTTTTTCAGCCTAATAATCGATACAGTAAAGGCACAAGTAATTATTCCAGAAGACAAAATTATAGAGATAAGACAGTTAATGCTAGAATTAGTTGGAAAAGAGAAGATTTCAGCTCACAAGTTGGCATCAGTAGTGGAAAAAATTCAGTCATTGAACAGGGCATTTGCATATGCAAAGGTTCGTTGTCTGGAATTTTATTCATTAATAGATGCAGCAAACAGGAGTCCATGGCAATGGGATGCATGAATAAAGCTATCGGAACAAGCACAGGAAGATGCAAAGTGGGTAGCCAAGAATTTGGGGAAAAGAAATGGTTGTTTAGCTTGGAAGCCATCAAGAGTAAAGCGGGCTTTCATCAATATATCCACAGTAGGATGGTCAGCCATTTTTAGAGACCACAAAGCCTTCGGAAATTGGAATTCAACCAAGTCCCACAGGGAAATTACAAAACTGGAAGCAGAAGCAGTAATTTTGGGTTTGGACTCCTTTGCGAAACTAATACATGGTTTATAGATCGACCTGCATATAGACAATCGAGGTGCTATTGGGACAGTCTTGAGAGGAGGCAAGCTTTCATGGCAGAAGGACTTACTAAGAAGATTGTGGATTTTAATGGACAGGTGGGATATTTGGATAAATGAAGTTTTTTAGATACCTTCAGAAATGAATCTAGCAGACGAATTGACCAGAGTTGTAGACAAAGATGACTGGTGCTTGAGCCAAACAATATTCAACTATATAGAGGAAAAATAGGGACCCCATACAGTAGACCGTATGGTGAATCACCAAAACAACAAACTAGCTCGTTTCAACAGCAAATTTTATTGTCCAAATGCAGAGGGAGTAAACTGCTTTGCCCAGGACTGGTCAAAGGAAAACAATTATGTGTGCCCACCTATAGCACTAGTTTACCGGGTTCTACAACACGTAATAGAGGAGAAAGCAGTGGCAACAATAATTGTGCCCAGGTGGGTTTCGGCAGCATGGTGGCCGTTGCTAATGCATGTTCAGACAAGTTATGTAGTTTTCCCCCAACCCAAATATCATTTGAAAGAGGGTTTTCCAGGAAGGTAGAGCCTTGGAAGAACCTAAATTGGCAGTTCCTGGCAGTAAGAGTGGATTAGTCAGTAAGTTGCTTGTAAGAGTGCAGGCTTTGAGTAGGAAATCGGTTTCGAATGATTGGAATCGACGTTTGGATAAAGCATGGGATATATATAAGGACTATTGTGAGATGATGAGCTTAGTAGCTTTGCCAACAGAGACTGATATACTTTTATCTTTTCTTGTTTGGCTGAACCTGATACATTTCTTTTCAGGGTATGTGAACTTTCTAGCAGCAGTATCAAGAGAACACTTAGAACATCAGTTTACAGACTCATCTAAGGATTATAGAGTTAAAAGAATATGTAAAGTGTTAGTAAAGAAATATAAGAAAGATAAAGAACCAAGATGGCCCTGTGACCCTCTAACAGTTTCTGCCTTAAGGCAGTTCATTGACAAGAAGCCACATTTCATGAATAGGGATTATTGAATATGTGATGCCACTTTAGTAGCTATTGGTTTGAGAACCATGCGTCGTCCAGGTGAATTGTGTAAATTGAAACTTAAGGATATTAAGTTCGAAGACAAATTATGTTGGGTATGCATAAGCTCCTCTAAAATGGATCAATTTGCCAATGGAAAGTTCATTCCTATAGAATATATGAATAGTCACTACTGCCCAATTAGGTTGTTGAAAAAATATTTGTTAATTAGACCAAAAACTACAGAGAATGAGCCTCTTTTTTTGTCAAAGCATGGAAAACAATTGACAGTTGGGGCTGTTGGTTCTATTGTCAAAAGAATAGCAAGTAATGCAGAAGCGAAGGGTAGATTTACAGCTCATAGCATTAGGATTGGTGATGCAATAGCTGCAATGGAAGCAGGTTTGTCATTGCCGCAAATACGAGCTATAGGAGGTTGAAACAGTAAAGCAGTTATGTTATATTTGAGGTCTGTTGGAACAGCAAAGTTGCAGTTTTATAAAAAGATGGGGTTTTCTAGCTAGCGATCCTCTTCTATCCTATATGTTCTTCAGATTTTGTAAATAAAGTCATTCAGTTTTTTGTATAAAGTTAGCTGATTGAGCAATAATAATGAAAAGCCTGTCAACGAAGTGACAGGATGATCATTATTGTAAGATCAGATGACTTTATGACTGATCACGTACAGTTTTTTGTTATGTATCCTTTTATAGTTATTCTTTGATTATTGTCATGAGATTTTGTAACTTGTTTTTTACAGGTAATGTTAGATTTCATATGATTTGATATTCACATGGTTATGATTATTGTTAGATCGATAGTGGAGGTAAGGGATAATGACTGTGGCTGAGTATGAACCAGTGATATGGAAGGAGTATTTAAGGCCAAGAAATTCAGTAGAGAAGGTTATCTTTCTTTTCACTATCACTCGCCTTGTAAAGGCTGGCTCTATCTCCCTCCCTTACCCACCTGAAATCAAGTAAGCAGTGTTGTTTCTTTTGTTGTATCAGGCTCCATGGCTGCATTAGCAGTGCAAGGACCTGTAGTGTACCTGGCTCCACAGCTGCAAGTGGCAGTGCAAGGACCAGAGGTAGTTTGGATCTACGGTTGCGAGGGGCAGTGCAAGGACCAATTGCTGTTTTTGGCTCCATGGCTGCAAGTGACAGTGCAAGGAACAGTTGTTGTAGTGGCTCCACGGCTGCAAGTGGCAATGCAGGGACCATAAGAATGAACCTCGATCATTTCGGCAGAAACATAGTTACCGATTCTCTTTTCAGCTATAAGAAGACTCAATGATTCCCCCTAGGTGAAGGTATGCTGATCCGTAAATGGTTTCGGATCATCTCTGTACCTGTGGGGCAGACAGGACACTATGGGTGTTCCTTTTGCGTTTGTTGTGTGATGAATACATGTCGCTATGATGGAAAATGTAATTATGTATATTAGAGCCAATAAGGTAGCGAGCCCTTATCCCATATGTTCTTCAGATTTTGTAAATAAAGTCATTCAGTTTTTTGTATAAAGTCAGCTGA